TTAGGAAATAAAAGAAAGGACTCATAGGAAAGCCTTCCTCAGCTCTCTCTTCCTCTGATGTTGTCGTAGTTGTGCTGGGGGTGGTTCCTACTTGCGTGGTGGTGGGGAGGAGAGGAGCAAGCAGTACGGTGTCTTCCAGTGGCCCATGTCCAAGGCTTCTTGATTCCAGTAGGTCCACTCCCCAGGGTGGCCTTTACAGAATGGGTGCCTGAGAGCGCAATGAGTGGGAACCAGTATCTGTCGGAGGTAAACCTGCCTGGGCTTGAAGCCCCTCTCTGCCACGCACTCCACGTGACCTCGGCCATTCTTTTCCTTCCTCTAGCCTTGGTTTCCCATCTGTAAGTTGTGCGGCTGAAAGGCCTTTGGCTGAGGCCCTTCCAGTGGATGCTAGATTGTTGGCACTTCCCTGAACTTGCTACTCTCTCCCCATTCGCTGCCTCTGCGAGTTGGCGGAGTGGAGGAGGTCAAGCTGCGCCCATCCATCCCCTCCCACCCTGCAGATCTTGAGGACTGCTTTTCCTCCAAGTGCCTGAGGAAAATCCCCCATGGGTCACTGAAGCCCAGCATCCACCCACTTTATTCTCTAACCGAGCACAGCTTCCAGCGTCACTCGAACTCCTTTCCCTTCTCCTGCCGTGATCCCCGTCGACACAGGGAGGGCGGCAGGACAAGAAAGCCCGTGACTAACACTTGCAAAGTTGGGAAGCAGCCTCCTCTCTCAGTGCTCACTCCGATCAAATGGGACAGCATACTTGGCCCCGTTTTGACCGCTATGGCCGCTCAGCGCCCGAGAGCTAATGGCAGGCAGGGTGAGAGCTGGAGTGCCTGAGGCCGGTCAGAAGGCAGGCTCTTCCTGAGCTATGCAGAGGGGATGGGGTCCAGCGGTGACAGCGCCTAGGTTCCAATAAACACATGACAAGGACCAAAGGCATGAATAAGCCAGTGGATAGATGGAGGGTGGCTACTTGGCCCCAGACTCCAGGAGGGTAAAATCTTCCCTCTCCCTGGGGTACCACTTTGTCATCAGGTTATCACTCCCGTTGGCTTGATGGCACAGGGTATCCATGGCCCCTGTGGGTGCAGGGTGGGTCTGCACTCTAAGAAGCGCAAAGACAGTGCATCGGGGACTGGAGATGCGCTGAGCTGCGTGATTCAGTGACAAGCCAGGAGCTGACATGGGAAGTTTCTCCACGTTTGGTCTCTTTGGAGAGAGCGCGTCCATCCTCCAAGGGCTTCCAGAAGACTAGGATTCTTCCAGCTCCCAGAATGTAAGCCCAGCCCATTTCTCCACCAGGGTCCCACCTGTGGACAGTGGGACTGGCAGTCACTGAAACCTGTGATTACGTCGCTCCCATCTCTTCCCATTCCTCCCAATGAAGCCTCAGGACTGCTGGGGTGGGAGGGTGTGTGTGTGTGTGTGTGTGTGTGTGTGTGTGTGTGTGTGTGTGTTGGAGGGAAGCATCTGGCTAAAGGATATGAATCAACCACCTCCCCAAGGGGTCGTGTCCACCTTCACTGTGAGCCTAAGGTGACACACCACCGTGTAGTGAAGGCAGGCTCCCTCAGCCCCTCTCATCCACATGCCACACCTGAGACGCTGGTCCGCGCGCCTGCTCCCAATGGACTCCGCGCGCCTGCTCCCAGCCCAGCCCACTCTCGCCAGCGTCCCTCCCGCTGTGCCGCTCTGTCTGCTCCTGATGGCTTGTCTTTGTCCTGTTCCTTTCCTAGTTAAATCTGGGAGACATCTCAGTGACTCAGCTCGATCACTAGTACCTTTGGGGTAAGGTAACCAGATTTTAACATTGGTAAAGCGGGACACCATTGATAAAACTCATATCCTGGCGAAATAGCCACACGGCAGCCGAAAACCATACACCCTAGCTCATCGTGCATTCGTTCCAAAAATCGGGGCTTTTTAAAAATGCTGCGGGACATGGGAAAAAGTGTTAAAAATCGGGACCGTCCTGCCCAAAGCGGGGCGTCTGGTCACCTTACTTTTGGGGGACCCAAGAAGTCAAGGACGTCGCCTCCCTCATCTGGCAGAATCCATCTACAAACACAAATGACAGGCTTCTCCAGAACCCCCTGGGGATCTCCCAGCCTGCTGGCTTTCTGGAGAACCCAGGTAGGAAGTACAGATTGAAGAAAGAACAGGTAGCCAGTCAGTTCCCCGAAGCCTACCTCTGCTTAGCACACATCTGCCACCCCTCCCCCACACCTTCCTGGGTACAATCTTTGGCCAAAATGACATTGAACAGGAAGAGCCTAAGGGGGCAAGAACCAGGATGGGGAATGACTGGCCTGGGTGACCATCATCGTATGTCTCTGGGCCTCTGGTCCCAGCACTGGCAGAGAGGCAGATGCTTTCCAGGCTTAAAAATCTCCGAAGCATCGTCAGTGGCATTTTCACAGCAAAAATCGTCCCGGAAGCAGCACGCTCCAGATGTCTCTGGCTGGAGGCAGGCCCATAGTTGATTGTTCAGTGTTAGAGAGACGCATCCATCCTGAGGCGGGAGGAAGTGGTGGGAAGTCGGGCTCCCTGGGGGAGCATGGCCCTCATCAGCCAGGCGGCCCAGAAACCCAGGCGCCGGCAGCATCTCACGTCACCCTTCACGTGGGAGCAGACGTAAGGATGAGAAACCTGAATCCACACAAAAGCCCTTTCATTCCAGCGATAGAAACCCTCATGGCGAAGCGTCCTTGGGTTAGCCTCACAATGCCCCAGTTATCTTAAAAAGGGCGAGGACTGGAGAGAGAGAAAAACGGCCAGCAGAACATTGATCACTTCTGATGATGGGCGCATACAGACTCCAAAACATTGATCGCTTCTGATGATGGGCCCATACAGACTCCAGAACATTGATCGCTTCTGATGATGGGAGCATACAGACGCCAAAACATTGATTGCTTCTGATGATGGG